TTGAGGTCATAAACATTGACCTCATTCGTATGCTTCGTTTATGCGAGAAAGGGGATACATATGCAGGTATGTGTGTCGAAGTTCCCTCGCCGCTTCGTCGATCCCGAGTCCAGACGGCCATGAAACGATGGATTATCCGTCGGTCGTCCGAGGGAACTCTTGGTACTATCATCTGACATCTGATGAATACGCGGGTGGAATCCACCGAGCATGAAATCTCACGTGGAATCTGAATGCACCGAAGGGTGTCTTAGTCAGAGTCCTGGTAAGTGAGCAGGGCTCAAATAAAAAATATATATATTTAATTGCCGAGGACAGCCATCTCGGAAAATGTTTGCGTTTCGATCTCGAGCGGAATGTGGCTCCATTCTCATAAACATTTATAAACATGATAATCTCAACTTACTACACATTTGCCCAAAAATTTTGCAATTTTCATGAAACTTACACCTCATTCGTAAAAATGATACGATCACGTTTCGTGCGTTATCAGGGCGGATGTCAGTTCAACACGACATAAAATACACAATCTTAAATTTAAAAAATAGATAGAATGTTGTTTTTATGCTCATCCGTGGGCTATTGCTGTTTTAAGAAGGAAGATATGATGCAGAAGATCGACGTCATTCCTTGAGGCATAAACTTCGAACTTGATACGCCGTTCTCAGACCATTGTGACTTTCAAAGTCCACCGTATTCTCCCCTTATACCAAAGCTTGCTTTTTGGAGCTAAACGCTTCATTTCCACCCATACGCATATGGTTTGTCATAGCCGTTATGAATCTGGCCAGTGGGCGCTTCACTGCCATCTACTGTTGATCGTGTGAAGTTTCTGAATGTCGGCATACAAATGAGAGCCCGCCGAGCGTCAGACTCAAATCGCCCTTGAATCCGTCAGACCATTTTTTTTTTCGCCCACCGACAACGTGGTTTGACTTTGTATCATGGTTGCATTGTCCAGACCGCATCATCAGTAGCAGGCTGTCAGAGGATCACCAATTCTTGCAGGTCAGCCTACGTATTTGCATCTCGTCAGAATCTCATTCATTCCAATTAGTTTCGTTGCCTTCTCGACAGAGCAATTTCATGCATTAAGCTAATTCTAGGAGTTTTCGCCTAACCCAGAACAACCCATAAAGCAAAGGCTTCTGCATATTTACCCCAGGGTAAGGCCTACTTCAGACTTTGTCATTCTGCTGATATCGGCGTGTTGGGCTTATCCAGTAGTTTGCCCAGAAAATCCCAATGGATTGACATATGAAACATTGGTAACCCACTCAGCATATATGGCCAAATTAAAATTTTTTTGAGAATCAAACCTATAAAATGCATCCAAATGCATCCCCATTATGACCCCAAACCCCCCCACCCCCCATGGGCATGCCACTGGGCATTACCCTAGTCAGACCAGCAGTTTTTCTTTGTTGGCTGGGCTTTTCTTTTTTTAAGATTACATAGTCGATTACAGTCCCACCTAGGTGTAAGCTAGAAATATACCATGCTGAAGGCAGTGGAACTGTCCAATTGTACCCAAAGGCATTGCCCCAGCCATTTTGTTGTGTTCAAATTAATGTAAGACATGGATTCCCTTGATGTAAAGAGGTGATCTCTTTGGAAGTATGGTGGTCGCTTTGTGTAACAGGATAATGCTCATGGTTAAGCCCATCTGCACTTTACCATAGCTTGACTTGTACTTTCCAAACTTCATGTTTTCCAGCTTTTTCTTATCAAGCATACTCATGTATTTTTTAAAATCATTTTTCATGACTTTCTCATGATCTCATTGATAGAATTGCCAACTATCATGGACTACAGGGACCATGGAGAATGCAACTGGCTGGAAGATATTCTATTGGTGGATGCTTTCTTCTGAATGAATATCCTATTGGAAGTGAACATTTTAGGGACTCAGGAAGAATAGAAGCTTGACCTATTTGAAGTGCCTCTTTGGGTAGTTTGTTTAAGTTACTTTTTTTTATATCCTAAGTCAGGATCCATGTAAAAAAACTTTTGCTATCACCAAATTGACATTTATTTTTTGCTGTGTTTATATGGAATGTTTACCCACTGCTTTGAGGATTGCAGACCTTTATGTGTTTGCTGTTATGTGTCATGACCATTCCATGTTCTGTTTTTTTTTTCCTAGCTTCTTAGAAGTGCAAGTTAATGTTAGAAACATTGCAATTTCAGCCATAATCATACACGCTGTCCTAAAAATTGCTTAGTTTTAAACTGTTTGCTCAACTTTCAAAATTCAATTTTCACTAAGGCAAATACAAGCTCAAAACTGTTCAGAGGATCATGAGTTAAAGCTGAAGTATGATTGCCTGTCTTTCTACTAATGAAGAATTACTGTGTAATGTTCCTTATGTCATTATGTCAATGCAGGATACTCCAGAGATTCAACATGAGAAAGTGTTAAGGGAAAGTTGATTGAGGACCACAAATGACCAGCAGACAGGTGAAGATGAGAAATGGGGAAATTAGTGGGCAAGGAGTCATGGCATCAATAAAATGGGAACCTAATGTCACCTAATGTAACAATGCACCTAATGTAACAACAACCTGAACCTAATGTAGCAATGTCCACTGTCCAACTGTGGACATTTATAATCCATCACAACTGCTTAGCTTCAATTTGAGACCTGCATTAAAAATAAAGGCAAACACATTAAAATTATTACTGATCCTGAAAGCATTCGTAACAAACTAGTCCATCTGTCATATCTGTCCTGTGACATCAACTTAAACTTCTTAAAAACTTGTATTGACATTATAAAGGTGCAAAATCCATCAATAAATTTGTGGTCATCCTGTATTGGTCCATAGGATGTCAATTTTATATCAGTGACATGCATTTTGATGCCTGTTTCATGTGTAAAAGTGGCAACTTTGATCATTTGGTTGTGTCCAAAACTCAACATTGATTTAATATATCCAATATTGAGCTGTAAGAATGTTAGATTATTATGGTAACTTCTTTACATGGAAATGTGAGGAGTAACAATTTAGGCCCAAATGCTAAAATCTTTTAGGTCAGAATGCACAAATCTAATCTAGGGGGGATAAAGGGGCCTTTAAGCTAAAGGGCTCTTTTTTCCCCCCATAGCAGTCCATGCATTCCTAAGGGACTGTTAACTAAGGGAGATTTCATCATTCGGGCCTTAGTTATCAGTCCTTCAAGAATCTATGAGGGAAAAGGGAACTCTTTAGCTTAATGGCCTTGTTATCTCACCTAAACAAGGTTTCAGCAATTGGACTTGAATTTGCTGGGGCTAGCAACTGAACCAGTGACTAATTCCTGTTCTAAGGAAAATTCTTTGAAGTTTACTGGCACTACTGTAATGTTTACTTCTCAATGAAAAATACAATTTTAAGTGAAAGTGACCAGCTGTGTTTCTGCATGTCTTTCATCAATAAAGTGACTTGCATTGCTGAAAATGCTGTTAAATAGTTGCACACAACAGCTAGTGCTGCTGCAGAGTGACTTGCAAAACCCATGTTCATGGATTTGCAACTAATTACTAAATTACTAAATTCACAATTAATCTCCCAAACTGTATATACAGGGTTTATAGATGTGGTGATGCAACTTGGTCTGCATTAAATAAAGATGTAGCATATTTACTTTCCTGTCTGTTCAATGGTTAGTTGGCAATGGGTCTCCCATCACTATGATTCTCATGAGCTGCAGCTTAGAACTGCTTGTAATGTTTTATACCATGGTCTAATTGTGCTAAAAACCTTGCTGGGCTTAGGGCTAGCACTGGTGTTCATGCAGTGTTTCATGTCAGTAATGCTTTGGATGTTTTGCTACATAGGCTCAACTTGTGTGGTTGCACTTCTTTGCTTGGTTAATATTTACCCTGTGGCTAGCTGTGCCTGATGGACAGGACCCAAAAATCTGAGGGTTTCTTTCAATCCTACCTACGTCATTTTTAGGGACCTTTCGGTGTCTAGTTGATGCTCTCGTCGTGGTCTTAAATGTATGGAATGGGAAAGAAATTCGGTGGGAGCAAGCACGGGGACTTTTCATGCGTCTGCTACGAAAAAGTAAGTGGAAAAAGCTTCACGTTTTGAGCATCTCGAGTAATCCATCTCAGCCGTTCCTGAAAAGCATGGATGAATAGACAAAAACGCCCTCCTGTCACTTTTTAATGGTGCAAAGTGAAACCAAATGGCCTCTGGAGGCTCTACCCCTCGTGGGTCGTCCATCGACCCGTGGCAGAAAAAAAAAAAGCGTATTTCGTTGTAATCTTGCACCATTCATGCCTAACTGACTGGTTATATCAGAGTCGCTATGTATGTGTAGGCTTACTTTGCAAAAAGGTAATGTCCGTTTCTTCAATGCATGTATTTTATGGAACTCTGCATACTTCTAGAAAACGTAGTTTCCCTTCAGAAATGAATCGTAGCTGCTGCGAAGAGGGACAGCAATAATATTATTACATTGCACTTTTAGCATGACTTATCACACGATTCCGAAGGAACAAAGGGCTTTCAGTATTTGAAAGGGATTCACCTTCAGAGCAGAAATTATCGCAATAAGTGGGAAGTATTGCTTAGATAATACCAGTGAAGCACGTCTTAATCGTCATAAAACTAATCGAATCTTGAGATATTTTGCATGCATGCATGCAAAGTATTTTCTTCAAATTTAATATTAAATCAACTCCTCTCTCAATTTCTTACTGCTACGATTGCTTACTGCTATGTGACCGAAGATATATACTAATACAAAACCACGGAGTGAGCCGTTTCAAAGAACTCGGGTTGAAATAGAATCTGTTTCTTCACTTCATGCCGGAGTGTCCGTATTTCATTTATGGAAATCTGTAGGACTTTTATTTTATCTGTCTGAGGTCAGAAAAAGTCAAACTGAAGCTACATATTCCATGGATCCGTTAGGTACAAAACACCACTAGATATTGTAAGACAGGCGTGCACCTCGTCCGTCTCGTTGTGAAATTTCTTTACCGTTCTCAGCTGCAGCAAACCGTGCCGTTCTGACTGCAGACCGTGTCCAAGAACATGACACACTCTTTGACCTCGGCCGGGTCAAGGCAGGTCGAGGGACAGTCTCTGGGTACGTCGTCTATAAAGCGAATGCCAACGAAATCACCCTTCAGGTAGTCACCCTTCAAGTAGGCGTCAAAATCATATTGACAGCATTCGGTGTTGTTGCGTCCGCAGATTGTGTTGGGTATTCGAGTGCCAGGAGTACAATAGTCGATTGGTTTCGTTGGTACGCATTTCAATTCACAATCAGCGGTTTCGGACTGGATCGGGTCTTGTCGCATCTGGTTACCAATTTTGCAGCAAATGTGCGCGGTTGAAGTGCAAGCGTTCCTGATCGTCGTATCGGGACTGCATAGGAGAGCGTTGTCATCGGGGATGCAGCTGTAGTCCTCCGGACAGGCTGCCTTCGTAGTCGATGGCGGCGCGGTGCGCAGCTTGCAGCAGAGATTCCGTTGGCACTCGATCGTCACGTGGGTTATAAGGCTCTCGAACTCGCAGAGGTCGAGATTTGTCACGCTGACGCATTGGTGGGGGCAGGAGACTCTGGGTATTGCGACCTGAGGGGGCGGGGTGACCTCGCCTTCCTTAGCCAGGGTGCAGCACAGAGAGTCCGAGTCCGGACAAGATTGGTTCGTGTTCACGCTACCCTCTTTGCAAGACTTTGCGAAAGCGGCTGGAATACAGTCTTGTTCGCAAGCGGTCGGTAGGATGCCTTCGCTGCCGATCACTGCACTTACATGACCCTGGTGACCTTGATGTTCTGTACCCCTTATTTGGTCGATTGCAGCAGGGCTAGCTACCCCGGTTTTGAGTTCTTCTCTCTCTTTCCCGGAATAGGTGCACAGTCCCTTCCCGTTGCACACGTGACCCCTGGGGCAGCGGGAGCAGGGGCGCCCTGTTCTGTAAACCGGCTTCCCTACCAGGTTCCCCCTGAGATGAAAGAAAAATATATTTGACCTAATCTAAAACTTGATAGGTCTGATTTCAAAGCGGCTGAGCTTACGCGGGACCGTAGTTGCAGACATAGAGCTTATTGAAGTTGCTGCCGTCTTTGAATGAGGCATAACCGCAGCCGACCTTGTAGGATTTTCCCCATATCATCTGAGTGTAGGGACTCCATTCACTCCCCGCCTGGTAGGAATACACGTGGTTGTGCGGGAATCGTTGGACCATGCTGAACCAGGAAGACATTGGGAGTTCCCAGTCCGCCCTCGGATCCTCCTGGTAGCTGCTCTTGGTGAAGAATAGGTTCTGACCCACAGAGAACCTCGCTGTAAGGAAAATAGGTTTAAATTTTCGGCATACCACTGGTGAATTTGATTGGTTTTGTCATTCGAGGTTAATCTCACCTACTCGTCTGCACTGGTTGCAGTCGTTCTCGAAGCGGCATTGATCCGCCCATTTCTGGGCTATGATGCCTAATTCATCATCCCAAGTCTATGAATGAGAAATTGATTTATTGAGTACTTGGTACAAAAGGTGCTCAGTGAAATCAATCAACTTCACGTTCTCATGGTATTGAAGGAAAAAAATCGTTCTTGAAGACGATAGAAGAGAAAGGCTAATTCATTAACTATTGTGAAGACCGAACAAAAAAAAAAACAGATTGCTTCGTTGGCTATAATTGGAAATAAAATACATTGGGTCAAACTACCATTTGTACAGGAGTATTCTATGTACTGTACACATCCTGATTCCACTTCTCTTCATAGAAAAGAAACTTTAATTTCTTTGGACGTCCATCCGATTCAAAGTTTCTCTTATTGTTTCTGGCAGGGCTTAACCGCTCAGATCTGTGTTTGTTTCACGTTGCACGAGCCCACATCAATGCATCCTTATGAAAGATGCAAGCTCCAATGAACAAAAAATGAGAGTCTGGTAATAGGAAAGATAATTACCATTTCGATCATGGCGGAGGACTGGGGCTGGAAGCCCTTGGCCTTGTAGGGATTCTGTCCGTGAGCCACCTTGGCCCTCAGCTGATTGTGAAGATCCACTACGAGGCCCTTCTCGACTTCACTGACCCCCCGAGCTATCTTCGGACACTCGGAATCCGCCCGGAGACACCCCGTATGATTCGCCGCGTATAGGGTGTAGCACCCGCCTTCGACGAACGTGTCGGCGAAAACCTGGTGAATCCCCTTATGCACCCCGACGAGCTCCTCCTGGGTCAGTCCCAGGTTGTCGATCAGGTCGTGGACGCCGTAGTGGACTGCGTCGAAGAACTCCTGGCTCGGTTGGAGCCCAGCCTCGTTGATCTCCTTCGAGAATTTCACATCGAACATATCGCTGATCTGGATGTGCAGCTGCGTCTGCTTCCCCTCCTCTATCTGGAGGTCGTCGATCACGTCGTGGAGCCGCCGTTGGATGAGGTCGAAGAGGGTGGCGTATTCGCTCCTCACCAACAGGGTCGTCAACGCACAGAGGCCGAAGATGGTGATGTAGGGCGTTTCGATCCTTTCGGACGCCATATCTATATCGCCATTAGATTATGAGATATGGGATAATGACAAGACAATAACATTTCGAAAATAAGTAAACGTATTTAGAAAAAATCTATTCCAATTTTTTCTGTTGATCTTAATTCATGATGTACAGGGTGTCCAACGAGTCACTGTGCACCTGGTAGTAACCTAATAGCACGTACCTGCGAGTTATAACAAATGCTGGAAATGGCCTCACGTGCCTCCAGACATGCCCAAACGCGTTCATTGGACAATTCAGTGAACAATTGAACGAGGATGAAATTACCAGCGGTTACTTCCCACAATATTGTGATACGGCACACACCACTAATATTTTCATGGCTCTGTTGGGCGATGTTTTCGAGAACAGAATGATATCCAATGGCCTTCGACCTCACCGGTTCCTAGATCTTACTCCTGATTAATATCCATGAGGAGCAATGAAAGGAGACGTCTGCAGAAACTATCCCATAGGCCCACAGAATTAAAAGATGCCAGCGTAAGTTAAATGAGTACATCAGCAAAGTACAGACGATGTGTTGGTGAGGGTCTTTTCAAAAACGGGATTCAACATGTTCATGCATGCCGGTCAGCACGTGGGGGTCATTTCCGGCATTTATTGTAATTAATATTGCCATTAATATAATCAATGTTATGACTCGCGAGATACTTACTTTTCTGCTTGTACCAGGTGCACAGTGAACATTTTGAACACGCACTGTACCATAGCGCACATCAGTAGAAAAGATGCATCGCGTGTCGATTCGCACAAGCGAATCTCCCCGCACATCGTCCAGCCGGTCGCAGTCATCGCGCTCGCGCATCTCGGGCGAAATTCGTTTAGTGTCGAAGATTCACAAGTCAAAGCCGGCACGGTCAACGTCCGGTCGTGGCGCTCGCGGAAGGGTGCGCCAGGTCCACTTTCTCGACACTTCGAGCATCGCAGAACGATAAGGAAAGGCCAACGAAAGCGAGCCTGCAGGCCAACGAAACCGGTCCTTGCGTAGAAACTGGACGCGCAGTCAGCGGTGACCTTGACTATCCCACGACCATCTTCTATCGCTCCGAGGTGTAACGAAGAAACCTGTCACCCTTCACATTTATGCCCCTCCGTGATGATGCAAATTAGCATTTTATTACTCATTCCTTTACTCATTAATTTATTGTCGTTTATTTAGTAGCGTAATTAATAGTGAATGTTTTTTTGCGTTTCTGAGGTCGTAGATGGGCCAATTATTGTGACTTGCGGGAAGGCAATTAGTGTCGCACTGATTGTCTCTGATAATTATCCTGCCGCCCTCGAAGTCACGCAAGCATCATATTGATTGCGGCCCGGAGAACTCATCGAATTATCCGGGAATTATTCAACAACGCTCCGTTGAATTATCCTGGAATTATCCTGGAAAGCAAGGCGCGATCGGAAGGGCAATCACGCCACAAAATCGGTCGCGGATCGGTCGCCGAAACCGACGGAACAGACGCGAAGTCTCAAAACAAAAAAATCGCAAAATATCCGACTTGGAATCCGTCACTTTATTGCACTTGGAATCCGAATCCGTCACCGTGACAATCCAAGATCTTACAGAGGTGTCACATTATGCAAATTAGCACTCAGTGGGAGATCTTGCATTCACCTTGCACTCAGAAAATCGCCAAATCACCATCAAATAAAGCGTTCCCTACGCGTTGAAAAGTGCAGACGACAGGAATTGTGCCAATTTGCAGCTTTCCCTAAATTTTGCACGGCAACCGATCACAACATCAACGATCAGCATAAACATCACAACATCAATTGCGAAATGGATTTTATCGTGGAGATCACCGTTACAAGAAATAATGTGATTTTCACGCCTAGTGCAAAAATTAATCCGTTCACTTGCAGATTTCTGCTAAAGTGCAAAAATGTCGACCGGAAAAAGAACGAGCGGAACAATCTCTTGATTTGCGTGCAGATTGCATATAAAAAGTCTGAATTCCATACCGTCTTGGTACGGTACATAAAACAATTGCGTTTTCGTCGCAATGTGTCGCAACGTGTCGCAACAGGGAGTGTCGTCAGCCCCCCGGGGGGGCCGCAGTCGTCTCGACCCGGAGGTGAAAGTTAGCGTTGCGAGATTTAGCCTCATTTCGCATCTCGGCATCGCGAGGGTATTTGAATAAATGTGCGCGAGGGAAATTAATGCAAAATAAATGCAATGTAAATGGTTGGAATCGACTCGTTTAGTTCCAAACGATTTCGGATTCGCGTCGGTCTGAGAAAAAAAAACTAAATAATAATTATATAATTTAAATAAAAGGGGGATCGTTGAATTCCCGGCTTCTTCCTGAATTTAATTAATTAAGCCGGTGTTTTGCATATTACGTATTAGTTATTAGAGAAGTTGCGGTCTCTGCTGTTCTCTCGGATTTCTCTCAAGCGGATTTCATTAAGTGATGACGTCACGTTTCTGCAGGAGAAAGTCATGCGTCGCTTAAGATCCGGGTGCGAATTCGGTCGCGATTACTCGGCGAGATACTTTTTTTCCGCTTTCCTTTGCGACGAAGCACTCAAAAGCCTAAATTGTGAAGGTGCTCCGTGGGCAATTCGGGCTCCGTGGGCAATTCGGGCTCCATGGGCAATTCGGGCTCCATGGGCAATTTCCATAAAACGATGTTCCGACCGTTTTTTGTTTCCGCTTTCCCGTCTCTCCGCGGACGAGACCGACGTAAACGATTAAATTGGAATTCAGTTTGGAAACGAAGAGCGAAACCGGGGCTCGAAGGCGTTGCATTTCAAATTTCATTACAAATTTAAAACTCGCTGAAGTAACATTCAGTGGAAATTGTTCCGCTTCTCGTGAAGGGCTAACTTCAACTCTAAGCGATAATCAAGTGAAGAGACAAACAAAAGCGATCGGGTCTCCTTGCTTAAAAGACGGCAGCGAGCACGAGGGCACCCCACAGCATCCTCCAAGACAGGAAGGAAAAGCCGAGCTCCCTCGCCCCTCCGACGTTGGAGAAGGGAAAACTCGCGCTGAGCTGAGCCAGGTAGCAGACGCCTCGCATCCCGAGCTGGAACTTCTGGGCGTTCCTCGCGTCCGGCGGGGCCTTCCTCGCGTCCGCGAATCCCTTCCTCGCGTCCTGCGAGCCCTTCCTCGCGTCCGCGAATCCCTTCCACTCCATCTTCTTCGACTGCGGCCGGATCCACCTTCGAAGGCGGCTTTATCCCGACCGATCCGCATTTATTATCCGTGTCGATCGGGACAGGCAGTCGCAATCGGGACGGGTAGGCGCGATCGGGACAGATAGGCGCGATCGGGACAGGCAGATGCACATGCAACCCCCTTATTACGTGCAATCAAAGTGACACCCGAGCGCCAAATTCATGCGAAATTCATACGTGCTGCCGTGCAACCGGAGCAAAACAAGAAAAAAAAAACCGTGAGAAAATTCTGACAGAAACATCTCCGAAATTCCCACGCTTTTTTTTATTTTCCTCGTCAGCTGTTCGCCCTTCAAAGGTTTACATTAAAAAATGTTCTAATTTACTGAAACTTAAAAAAAAAAATTTTTTCTCCCCGGATGTTTGAGGCGTCGAACCGAGAACCCACCTCGTCCGCGCAGTTCCCGAGAGGACGTCGAAGCTGGAACTTCTCAGATTCTCAGCAGCCGCGCTCGCCATCGCCTTGCGCGACCCCTGTAACGCAACATGCAATCTGTAACGCACCAAGTCATCTGCAATCAACGGCCGATTCAACTCGCCCGCCGCCGATCCCCGCCGATCCTCGCCGATCCCCGCCGATCCCCGCCGATTTCAATTTGCACGAAAATCAGCGCGTCTCACTCTCGATTAGGGCTGCGCCATCGGCCGGTGTCGATTGTGGTCCGTTGAATATTCATCAGTGGCCTTAAAGTGGCAGGTATCGTCCGGCTTGCAACCCTGCCGTTGGCCGATGGCGCCGACGGTGCAACACCGCCGACCGACGCAATTTTCCCTCAGTCGATTGCGAGTTATTCCGATCTGTTTCGCTCGCGAAATCCTCGGCGGTTAAGTCAGCGGTTAGCGCATGTCACAACAGCCTCACTGAATATTCATTTTTGGCAACCCTGAATAATTCACGGACGAACGACGTGGCCGGATGTCGCCGCAGATCATTTTTGAATTTACTTGTAAGACAAATATAATACTCATTGTATTTAATTTTTTTTTTGTGGACGCTTTCGAGCTCGCATATAGTACAATTATAAGTTTAATATAAATATATTTAATTCTTTTCAGCGTATCTGTGAAATTTTATCATCCTTGAATCGCCCCGTGCACCTCCCCAGAGGCTCAGAGGTGCTCTTGGGTGTTCACGGGTGCTCGGAGGTGCCTGGGGGAGGTCGGAGGTGCCTCTTCGGTGAGTGCCAAAAAAAAAAGGTGCAAATCCATGGTGCAAAATGGTAAAAAAAAATCCGGCTTCGGTGCCGTCGCTGTCCGTCGGCGAGGAGCCAGATGTACAATTATTTATTTATTCATTTATTATTCGGATACAACTTAGGCTAAATTCCACTGGTTGAAGTAAAAATAAATATAAATGCAAAATGAGACTTAATTTAATTAATTTCTAATGAGGCAAAAGTGAAAACCCGAATCCTCGTTGACGGGAGGGAAACATGGCGGCCTTCCGGAAGATTCGAGGACAAAATTGTTTTAAAGGGCAAAATTGATTTAAAGGGCAAAATTGATTTAAAGAGCAAAATTGATTTAAAGGGCAAAATTGATTTAAAGAGCAAAATTGATTTAAAGGGCAAAATTGTTTTAAAGGAATATCGGCAAGATCGCATTGTGACGTGCTTTATTCGCAAGAACGATTAAAATTTGCAACAAAATACATTCGAAAGGAATGAGTAAATAAATGAGTAAATAAATGAGTAAATAAATGAGTAAATAAATGAGTGAAAAATTAAAATTCATCAGACTAGATTTTTCCACTCGACTTGTCCCAATGAGTCGTTGCGTGGGTCATCAAAGTTTACGTGTGGGTCG